TTTAAAAAATGCCTCTTTATATCAAAAGAAAATTTTGACACAACACATTGAAAGATGTAAATGAGAAATGAAAGAATTATCGGGCCACAAGTATTTACTCGGATTAAGAATTAAGTAATAAGAGCGTTAAGTTATAAGAGTTATAATGCAAACCTCAAATTTGCATCAATTCTCTTTGGCAACTTACTCTTACATAACGCATTTATTGTCACAGGCAATTGCACATCGCGATCATGCAGGGTTACGTGGAGGCTGCGCTCATTTTGATAAGGCTGGCTCCTCATCCGTATCTGTTGAACATCTATAACGATGATTGGCAATCATCTTTGCATCTGGCAGTGTTGACGAATCAGTCGCTAATCGTTAGACGACTAATTCTGGCGGGCGCAGATCCATCTTTGAGGAATTTCCATGGAAATACAGCTCTCCACTTAGCGTGCATGAACGGGGATCTTGCTTGTGCCAAGGCTCTGACGGATCCGTTGTCCCCGATGGAGAGGAATAATCTGATACCCGGACAAATAGTACCAGCTTTACCTCAGAATTTAGAGCAACGTAACTATAGCGGTAGGTAAATATTGCTAAATATTATTGGTCTGTTCTTCGGAACAGTCACTATATAATTTATAACGATGAATAATAATAGGGACTAAAGAAATTTATAGCAATGAATAATAATAGGGATTAAAAGAAGCATTATTTATACACAAATGCCTGCTATATTTATAGTCAGGCCTTATATTTAAGGCTTCCTTAAATTTATCTTCAAATGCACTAAGAATTATTTTATTGGCTACTGAGTATCTAAAGATAAATTTAAGGAAGTCTTAAATATAAAGTCTGACTATGAATTGAATCGGACAAAAATTGAAAAGGAATTATCAGGACGAAACAGCGCGTTCGTACCTGAAAGATTATATAAGTGAAAAAATTCTTATATGTTTTACCTTAATGATCTGTAATTTTCCCTACGGTCGTACGACAGCAGTTATTTGGAAGCTTGCAACATAATTGCCGTTAATCATCATAATGTGGGGAAAGAATCAATGTCGTTTACATGACGATAGTCATGAAGGATGCCGAGTTGGCAGGAAAATCCTAACTGTTTTTACCGTATAGAACAAGTTATCTATATAAGGTTCGCAAATAGCGAACACGAGGAGTCATGTGGGTTTCTTATGATTTCGTCATTTTTATTTCGAGAATCACGCTTTATCACGTTTGGAAGTTTCATCGTTTTAGGCACACGGGGAATATTCAATTATTTATGCAAGAAAAAAAAGACATTAATCTGATTGATGTAATTTGAATATCAAAAATCGCTGCCTCAATATTCTACATATTTCAATGATAACTTTTTTTTTGTTAATTCAGAATAATTTACAATTCTTTCAATATCGAGAATGCAAACGATTTATGCATAAATTAAATGATTAAGAATGACACTTTCGAGAATAATCTTTGGAGATGCGATTATAGAAATGAGTATACTTTTCCACGAATTTTTATTTATCTAAAGCCCATTCTACAATTGCGTAAGCATAGTTGTAACTGTAGTTGCAAGAAATTACTAATCTGTTGAATACAAGAAGAATATTCGACTGTAATTGGTCGATTCTTACAACTATATACAATTACGCAATTGTATAATAGGCTTAATATATGTAAAAAAGATATTCTTTAGGTATTTAATATAGCATACGTTGAAATATTGCAAAAAAAATGTATTTCGATATTGTTGTTATTAATTGCGATTGGTGACTATAAATGATGCGCGGCATATTCTGACACATTTCTTAAATAATTATTGTCGTATTATTGTTACACGCTCTATCTGATGGATGCGATTCTTTTCGTCATACGTAAGAATTCCCCGACTGTAAATGTACTAGTATCTCTCATCGATACATCCATTATCGAGTTACCATCGGAAATGACTATGGTTTGTTATCATCACAAATCAAGAATCGAATAAATTGGCAATAAGTTGAATATGCGATTTATTGACGTGAATAAATTGAATTTCGAAATCTGCGAAATTTGACATTGTGAGAAAGAGATGCGCGTCGCGCAGTACGTAAATTAAAAATTTATATACCTTTATAATAAAAAAGGAAAAGGAAAAGGAACAGAGAGAAACGTTAGAAGCGAAAAAAGCGTTTAGATGCTTTCTATCACTTCTCTTTCAAATCCAAGACTTTTACGGTGAGGTAACAAATAAAGAAAGAAAAAAATTACTCTGATCAATAGATGTGTGAAATATTCATGAACTTTTAAAAGTCTTGGAAATCCCGTGTAACGTCATCGACGCGTATTTCCGTTGCAAGTTCACGCGACGTGGATAACGCACCTCTATTATATGGTAGGCACGCACGCACGTGCGAAGTGTGATGCACGCTTGTAATGAATTTGTGATTGAATTCGAGGGCGAAGTCACGGATGTCCATAAAATTTTACCTACGCGCATTTCATTGCATAAGATAACTTGCACTATTCATTCGGATTTATAATTAAGGATAATGACTCGAATGAGTCCTAAGTCCTTCTTCCGCGTGACCGAGAGATCAGTTATTCATTTAGAATAATTGTGTTCCAAGGTCTACTTGTTTTTCCTTTTTTTTTTCGAGAAATGCGCTTTCAGTTTTGCGATTAAATGATAATTGCCTCTAAAACAAACGATAGAAGATAATTGGTGATGAATTTTGCAACACGATCATATTAGCTGGAATTAGATAAAATTGATGTTTCCGCGAACGCAATTTCACTGTAATTTAATTTATTTCCAAAGACAAACACGACATTATTATTTCTCCTCGAGAAAAGAGATTATTTTGTTTACAAGACAACTTTCATATAATTGATTTATATAGTTGGAATGCTTGTCAATCTTTGTAAGATTCTTAAATCAAAGTATAGATATATATTTTTTGTATATAGAATTATAAATGCATATAGTTATTATTACTAACATTAGAGCGATAATAACTATAAAATGGAGCTCTCGTAATCATAACTATTTTACAATATAATGAAATTATAATTACAGATACTTTACATATTTTTCTTCAGTGCACATATATTATTATATATGTATTCATTGAGAAGTTATAATTACGCCATTTTATAGTTATTATCCATTTTATAGTTATTATCGCTCTAATGTAATGTCTTAGTAATAATAATTATATGCATTTATAATTCTGTATACAAAAAGATATTGTATAGTTGGTCTCGAAAATGACCATATTATACTAAACACTTTTTGCGCAGTACGTAATCCTCTAGTGTGTAAGGGCTATTTTTAGTTGTTAACAATTCTTATCTTTAATTTTATCATAGAAAAACGCTTTAAAATCAACGCAGAGCTTGTCGATAAAAGATCAGAGAATATTTTTTCAAATAGTTTAACGTAGTTGTGCGAGAGGGATTGTTTTGTACACACGATGGAATTTGGCATGATCCTATATTATACTTGCGTGTGCGCGTGTTACATCATACGACGCGAACGTGTCAAGACGCCGTGAGATCGGAGCGAGAGAGCAGATGTTCTTGATACTTAAAAATATCTGTAGAACTATAACTTGCATGCTGCTCGATATTCTTGCCTCGTCTCGTTCGGCCGGAAAACCCCACAATGGCGTCGACGTCGATGACTTCTGTTGAACTTTCGCCCTTAAAAATTCAATTTTTCTTCATTAACTCTAGTCTCGCAACAATTAGTCTTTGAATTTCTTAATTTAAACAAGCATTAAAATTTGATAAAACTTTTTATTTCGCGTTGTGGCAGTGTATATCTGTCTAAATTCTTTGAAAATACGATCTATGATTTAAACTTATTAAGCCTCATCGACGCTGACATTCTAATTTGTAGACGCAAACGTATTTTTTTTATAGATAGAATTAAATCTATTAATTCTTTTAATTCAGTCAATCGATTCTACGTGGCTATAGCATGATAAAAAAAACGAAAGCGACATTTTATACCATTATGTTTATTAATATTTACGATGATCGATTAGATTTTTATTTTTGCCATTGGCAATCGACGCAATATATGATATACGCATGTATGTCGTTAAATTCTGCCAATGCAACTAGTAACGTGGTACGCTATTAATTTTAGATGCAAGTTACTTCAATCAGCGCGAGCCTAGTTTGGACCGCGAGACACCAGCGAAATCTCCGACAATGAGTCATCGTATGTCTTCCTAGTTCTATCTATATCTCACACGACAAGTATGTGACTAGACTATATGCATTCGTTTTGATGTGCGTATTCCCGTGTCCCTACTGGTTCAAGGAAAATGAATAGAAAAGTTGAAAAATTAGATGCAAGTCGCTATACGATGCAAACTGAGCTGCACTTATTTTTTTTATCGTAAACTCGCGCGCGCGCGTGTGTGTTTAATTATACTGTTTACATTGTATCATTTAATAACGTATAATACTTGTACATAATTGATTATGCGTTACCAAGTAACACATTTTGCGTTTACATTTGTATCTATAACAATTGCATACAATAATAATTGATGTATATGGCGATAAGAATAAAACAGACATTTTTATGTATCGTCGATGGATCATATAATATCGAAATTCGCGCGACGACATTCTGCTATCAGCTGATTGCAATTAAATATTAAATGATGACAAATAAAATCATGACAACGTTCTTCTGATATCATATAACTTCAATGTTCTACCTGATTAGTGTCCTATAACAAATAATAAATAATAATATAAGAGAATCTCTTTTTCAAATATTGTTGTTTCATTAAATACTGTTTAATCTTCGGTTTCTTGATTCAATTTCAGGTGAGATGTGCTTGCACCTGGCCGCCACTAATGGACACGTGAACTTAGTGCGTCTTCTGTTGCGTCTCGGTGCCGATCTCGAGGCGAGAGAAGCCTTAGCGGGAAAAACGGCACTTCATCTTGCAATGGAACGGAAATGTCGATCGGTAGTTAACTTCTTGTTGCAGGAATGCAAGCCTTGTTTAGATACACAGATGTACAACGGCCTAACGGCTTATCAGCTAGCAATGTGCATCGACATCCAGTTCGCCAGGGAACTGGTGCGATATGGCGCAAAACCGGAGCCGCTACTGGATTCGGATTCGGATTTGGAGAGCAATTCCGAGGATGAAACTTACGGTGAAACGAGTTATTTGTCCGCGATTATCAAGATGCAAAACGCAGTCGAATTGAAAGTCTGAAATATTCATTGATAAGTATCCGATTAATTGAATGGATCTAAGCACTGTAAGGAGAGTGAGAATAAAAAAAAAAGACAAAAAACATGTATAACATACGTGTATATGTACGAGAACTAATCTCGAATTATATATAAAAATGACTATGGTTTTGTCGAATTCACACACACACACACACACACACGCACGCACGCACGCACGCACGCACGCACGCACGCACGCACGCACACACACACACACACACACACACATAACAAGTGGATAATTGCAATGAAGCAAGATTACAAAATGATTAACATTACATCTCGCGCGAAAATGGTTTCATACATATATACTCGTATGATAAGTACACAAAATCTTAATTTTTGATGTAGTACTTGTTAATTATTAGATAAATTCCGGTGATCGCTTAAGAAAAAGATTAGTTTTATTACATAAATAGTAATCGCATTTCGCGAATTAAATTAAAGTCGCAAATTTTAACGACTTGACGTTATATTAATTCGCTGAATTGGATGAGGATGACAACGAAAATTGAAAAAAATTGCTAATTAAGTAGGTGCATAATGAAATTTCAGACATTCTAGTTTCGACCTGCGCGCGCGATTAAAAAATGCATCTTGAGCTCATGAGTATTACGAGTACTATTATAATATACAATTATAAATTACATGTATGCTTGTCAAATCGATATAAGTGGTGATGCCGAAAGATAAAGAAGTACAAATAAAGAAGTATATAATGTATGAAAAAATCGAAGATCTCAAAAAAAAAAACTTATACGCGATTAACAAATATTCGATCAACGAATGAAACAACAATATGTGAACATAAATAATCAACATAAAAGCAGATTTTTTTCTTTATTCATATGCAATTGATGGATGAACAATATTCTGAAGCATATTTCTGAAATAATATATTATAAAAATAATAGAAGAAAATACAATTTGCATTTCAACACGAGTATCTGCGATTCTACAATGTCGATGGAACGACCTGTGCGAACGAAAACAAAGGGTAATTGTTTTAAGATGTATGACAACGTGAGAATAAAATATTTGCGCCTTGTGAGTGCGGTATTTTGTAATGTAAATAGAGAAATATTGATCCGCATTCAAGGAACATATATCTATGAAAAAAAGGTTTTATTGTACATATATAATTCGTAGATAATAAGAAGGTGAACAATACAATATGATAATAAGAGGTTAACGCGTCTTTGACATACGTTTTAGTTAAAGAGAAATATAATCAAATTCTTACGTACTTAAGTTACAGATACAATGCGAGGGAATAGCGATAGTTATAGAAATAATCAGATTTCAACTCATCAGAAACTGTATATTTCGGTGTATTCGATTTCTGATAGGTTAAAATCTAATGTTATTTCTATCGTTATTGCTATTCCCTTGTATGGGACTTTAGAGCGATACGACAGTATGCGTTATTAGTGCGACGCTCTAATCAATTGAGATAATGAGCCAGATAGTTGTGCAATATATACATCTATTTATGTTAGTATAGTGAAGAACAAAAAGAATCAAAACAAGATATTTATTAACGTTAAACAGCAACCGGATCAGTGTTTATTTAGTAATTTAAGATCGTTGTCGTTAAAAAATGTATGATAAGACCTCTTCTCATACATGTACATAGCCATCTTCTGTCATATACATAAATATAGCACAGCCACGATTATATTAATAACAAGGACATAACAACGTTATTATTGTTATATATCCTATATATGTAAAACTTAATTATTTTTAATAAAAAAAAGATGATGTTGAGAGAAATTGGAAGATATTTCTTTCTTTTGTGTCTCATGCTGATCGATTGACGTTATTATTTACAACGCAAAAAATCACAAGAAGACAATATCACTTAGATCAACACAGTCTCACGAGGAAATCTGGAAATTCCCACGTCGCAAACACTACGTAAGAATTATATAGGTTTAGAGGAAATAATATCTTTTTCGTGATATGTATATTGCCCCCGACATTCTGTTATTATACTTCTGTATAACGAAAAAAAAAATTTCTTAGAAATATATTGCAACGATATAAAAAAACGCAGTGTGTGATACAAAATTCTTATACATACAGTGAGTGCAAAAAGTATTCGTACAAGAAATTTTTTTTATAAAAAGTCTTACTTATAAAAAATAAACATTAATTAGCAATTTTATACAATAAATACATTCTGTTTTAACAAAAACTAACGAGCTTCGCATATATTTCTGATTTTAGAAGCTGAATTTCTCGACTGTACGAATACTTTTTGAGCATTTAATCCAATTTTTTATTTTAGCTTATTTTTCAAATGATATATTTTCTATAATTAATACACTTTTTGGTATATATAATTTTAAGAAACATACAGTCTATTTTATTTTTTATGAATAAATTGTTAATAACTTAGAAAGAAATGTTCGTCAATTAAACGTCGAATCGACGTCAAATTAGTGTTGAAATCATCGTACCGATATCAACATCAATTCAATGACTCATTTTTCGCTGGATAATATTTACTTTTTAGAACTGAAGCTTTTTAAAAACATATTTTCTCTGTACAAATACTTTTTGCACTCACTGTATATGCATTAAACTGACAAGAAAAAAAATTTTTTTTTACTCGGTCTCAGTTCAAAAACTTCCATTTTATGTAAAAAAAACACTCCTTAATTTTTTATCAAAAAATATTAAGAGTTAGAGGTTACTAGTGAACAATTTTTGGGAAAGTATCGAGGGGACCAAACTCCAAATGACCTTGACGTTGACATATGTTATGAAGGTCATGATCCTGAGAGACCTCCAACAAGTATTAGCCGCTACTCGTCCTTCGTTAAAAAATTAGTAACAAAGAAGTTTAAAAAAATAACGTTTTATTTCTGCTATATATAATATTAAAAACTATCCTACATTCTTCCTTATTTATGTACTGATTTTTCACGCAAAGCAATTTTCACCTCACTTCCCTCCCCTCTCCCCCTGTTTCAGGAGCGGCGACTTCCACTTACAAAGTCTTATTGGAGATTAGTCAGGGTCACGACTTCGAAAGTCGCTTTGCGTGGAAGTCGCGCACCCCTAAGCAGGAGAGAAGGTGGACTGGGAGTTAAAATTTTGATTTTGTTTAGTAGAAATAAGATGTTATTTCTTAAACATTTATAACTTTTTAACGAAGGACGAGCGATGGCTAAAATTTATTAAAGGTCACTCAAGGTCATGATCTTGACAACATATGTCAAAGTCAAGGTCATTGGAGCTTGGTTTCCTAATCGATACTTTTATCCGATTTTTAAATAAAAGTTTCAATTTTCCTTAATACATGTTGGATTTGATAAAAATAGCTTAATCTGGATTTTAAATGCGGTTTTTGTATGTTTTTTAATTGCTAAATACGATGTTAATAATTTATTTAGCTCTACGATATACGCCTTAAAAAATACAGCCCGATTAATGCAAAAAATTGATCAAATTTCGAGTTCAAGGTCGATTTTAGCAAGGTTTCAAGTGTTCAAATGGTTACTCCCCTCAAATTGTATTATATAATATTAATATGTAGTCTATAGCAATTAATGAAATCATATTTCTTTTGTATTATGTAAGGAAGACTGGAGCTCTAAGTAGACACCGGAGCTACACTGGCATTTGAATTTTGTGAATGGCAAAAATTAATATATCTTATGAGTTCCCAATTTATATTGTAGATATGAGGGGACATCTTTGTATGTCTTTTTTACCAATTAAATTTGATTCGTTTATGTGCCGCGTTATTATGTTTAGGTAGTCAAATGTGTTTTTGATAGTCGAAAGTAATTTTTGAGATTTTATTTTTCGAATCACATTTTTTGTGATAGATGAAATAAAATTGCAAAAACTGAAATTTTTTATTGCCATCTTGTAATCTTATAATCATTCTATAAAGCGCTAATAATTATTTAACCAAAATCGTTTACTTTGAAAATCGTTTTTATTGAAAATTACAATTAAAGAAAAGGGTGCCCACTTAACTTCGGCATTCTTGAAATTTCATTTTCCAAGATCACATCATTTTTTGTGTATATGGATGAATTGAAGTTACAAAATTTTTTATTGCGATCTTGTAGTCTTATAAGCACTCTATAAAACGCTAATAATCATTTGACTAAAATTGTTTATTTTATTATTGAAAGCTCCAATTGAAAAAAAGGTATCCATTTAGCCCCGGTCTCCCGACTCATTTCATTTTCTACAATAATAAAAAGTTTTTTATTATCAAATTGATGGATTTGACTTGAGAATGTCAAAACCAGGGTTGTTACTTTTTTACATAAAAAAGTAAGTAACGTAGTTACTGATTTTTTAAGTAACGAATGAGTACCGAAATTACTTTTCCTAGTGAGTAACAGTAACGATAACTAAATCGCAATTTTCAAGAACTAATAACAAAATTTTATGTTATTTTTTTCGTTATTCCGTTAATATAGAATAATTTTAATAAGGACGCATTCATATCTTGACGGAAAAGCAAAAAGCGGTAAAGCAGTAGCCAATCAGAACTCACGCTGATAGTAAGTATAGAACAAAAAGCCGAAATTGTCGATATTGCTTAACAGACGGACATATTTTGAACAACAATTATCTATTATTAAACAAAATTTCAAGATTTAGTGATACAAATTAATTATAACTTAAAGTTAAGATATATGTGCTGATGCAAATTAAAATATGTATCATAATAAAGAACTAATAAAAAACTAATAAAATAAAACAAAAATATAAATTAAAAAACGATTTGTTCTTATGCAGGTATAATTTACATAAGTGCAATCATTTTTGAAATATAACGAAAAAAGTAACGATTTTTTCGTTACTTTAAGTAACAATAACGTTATAGTACGCGTTACTTTTTAGAATCGATAATGAATAACGAGCAATAAATTATTTTTTACCGCAAATAACTGTAATTAAAAAACGGTAATTTTAACAACCTTGGTCAAAACAAAGTGATATACTTTAGAACTTGTAAAAAAATTGTTTCTATCCTTAAAAACGTTTTATAATCCAGTTAAATGCAACTTTTAAAGGTCCTGGAGATTCCGAGAAAATTCCAACTGGATTTTGTTCTGGATGAACAGATCTACAATTTGAAGAGAGTAACGACCAGGATTAGGAAATTTAGAGCTACGAGTAATTTCTTACG